GAATTGGGATGTGACATGTGGGCGCGGCCTAATGAAGATGGCTGTCCATACATTGCATCAGTATTATAGAAAGCATTGCATATTGTGATTTTTAATTTTTCTAATGATAAATTTAAAAACAATTTTTGATTGGGCTAATGCAAATGCAAGCTCAAGAAGTGTTGTGGAAGCCGAAAAACTTTTGAAAGCTGGCCACATAATAAAATGTGGAAAAAATGTTGATAAAACAAGTGATACCGCTTGATACTTGCACTTCAACATCTCGCATTGATGGCGTTAGAGGTACTACTTCTGCTTGAACATTCCATAAATTTTCACCGTTTGATGAGTTATGATCTAATTCTTCTGATACTAAATATTTTTCCTGCTTCTCCATTAATTCTTCAATTTTTTTACGTCGTTTAATTTTTCGAGTTTCGCGACTATTATCTATTTTGACATTAGGTAAGTTATTAGACGGGACAGCATTCCTTTTCAGTTTTCTGCGTTTTAGTGCAACATCTTTAAAAATTAACGCATAAATTTTAGCATCACATTGGAGTTATAAAGTGAGGTTAAGTATAGAAATACAACATTTTCAATTATTACTTACCCGGAAAAATGTAGTCATCTTTTTTAAAATGAAGTGAGCAAACTCTTGTATGTATATGAACTGACATTTTTAATTTTTAAAGCTCTTTTCCAAACTTTAATTTGATCGATTTTCTCAAGATTACCAAATACATTTGTGATAGTTACGACCCGTTGCACCCGTAGGAAAATCGACTTGTACAACTTTTTACAGCACAAACGGTTCTGCACTTTGATTTTGCACGAAATGGAAATTTCGCTAGTTCCATATTATATAAAATATTAATAATCACAATTTGCAANCGAACTTAATAATTTAAAAAAAATATTTTGTAAGCCATGTTATCTATTAAAAAATAGCCGCGCTCTAAAAACCAAACATTTCGGCGTTGTTCGAAGGACAAATAGTTTAAGAATCGGTACCTAAGTTCTCCCAGCAAGACAGTCGCCTTTCGCCTGCTTAAATTAGTGGACATTTTATCATTAAGATGAAAGCAAAAACCATGTTGATTAGAACAGTATAAGCCCCGGATGAGTAATTAGTCATTTTAGGTATAGATATTGGGATATAATAAATATTTCTGACTTGCCTATGAAGGAGACGTTGAGGAGATATTTTTTGTAAAAGTCCCCAGTATCGTACTGCTTCATTTCAGGGCAAACGCCGAATCTCTTCTTTTTCAAGCAAACATCTCGGTAAAGGTTATTTAATGCATAGGCAAAAGCGTAGACGGCATCAACCACAAACTGTACCTTGCTGTCTTGTTCGTATCTGAAATACATACCGTTGACGAAAAAACGCTGATGTAATTCAACTCTTAATTGTTAATTAATATTAAATTTATAATGAATTGGTGAAATGGTTAGGAATGCTGAAACGTTGCCACTTCGAACGGAAAATAGAACATCAAAGGAAAAATCAAACTTACAGGCAGAGTGAATCTTCTGTAGTATATATTTCTCTCTCTGTTTCCTCACTCCCTATCTCTCTCGTACCAATGCGTTTTACTAATTGTTCAGTAAAGATTTTTTTTACAACACATCTACCATTAACATTAGTTTAAAAATTTAGTTCAACCATGTGACAAAACGAATTATCGCGTTGTATATTTCAAAAAAGTTTTAAAGCAGGATTGGGATGTGACATGTGGGCGGGGCCTAATGAAGATGGCTGTCCATACATTGCATCAGTATTATAGAAAGCATTGCGTTGCATTATTGTGATTTTTAATTTTTCATGTAGTAGTTTTTTCTTCCAAATTACCTTCTTTACATTGATGGTAAAAACTTTACCACACGTCAATAACGACTATTATTAATGAGTTTAATGAAGTGTACAAAAGAGTTGTGATGTACGAGCACGTATTAAAAGGTAAAAAGAATTAATACGCGACCGGTTGTAGAAAATATTTTTAAAACTAACTGGTTGAAAGGAGAGAAGTCCTCGACATGACCAAAAACTATCGCGAAGATAAAAATAGACGTAAACCTTCGGGAACGTCGATGAACAAAATCGGTAAGGTCTTCGCAATTGTAGTTACTTTTCATATAAAAGCGTTAATAGAAATATTGAGGCGTCTTCAAAATCGGTCCGATCCAATTTGCTATTCCTTCGGGGACCGTCAAACCCGCATGAACTATTTGTCATTCTCTTTTTGCTGTTCCCTTTAAGATGAATATAAACGAACAAATTTAGGCGTGCGCTGTTCTTTATTTTTTTTTTTTTATAACTCCGCCGTTATATCCACAGCTGCACGTCCTCTAGGGAAATGTTTTATCGTTTAGTTGTTACGACTACAAAGTAGAAAACGTTTTGACTGGAACGATTTAGAAAAAACTTTTTCTTTCTTTTCGTATACGCCCTTGTTATGCCAAATAAACACTCAGAACTTGTCGTCAAAAATACACAACAAAACTAATCATACACGAAGTTACATAAATTTACAAACGTGGAAAAATCATGTAAAAATGGCCAAGTTCTATGAAGAAACGGACTGCCAATTGCATTTTGTTTTCACAAAGCAAGTAGAAGACGTCATCTATATCAGAACTTGGCAATATTTTTATTCAATTGCCAAGTACGAAAAATACTCGCTCTTTTGCCAATTCAAACACTTTTTTTTAATTATGTACGGTCTCTTCAAAATTGACAAGCTTTACTCAAACCAGTGCAAAACTATAATCATCCAAAACAATTGGAAGAATTCTAAAGAAAAAAGTTAAATAAAAATTNATGGTTCCAGAACACCGTGTATAATAAAAAAATAAATAAATAGCGCAACTTAATTTTTTTACTGTCCATTCCGCTTTTCGCTTTCTTTGCCGTCAATTTTTTTATATTTGCCGAATATTGGGGATGAATCAGTGACCCGCACACTGTGAAATTTTCCTTCAACTGTCTAAGGCAGGCTTGTTTAGACGGACCTTTTCTGTTGCGTAAAGGTACATCCCTTGAAAAGGAGGCAGCTACCTACAAAATCTTTTTTTGAGCGTTCGTGTGAAGTGAGCAGACAAGAGAATTTAAATTGCACAATTCACTTTGTATCCTTCTATCCTTTCCAAAGGTAAGGATCTTCTTTTTAAAGTAATTAAAAAGCGCCATGTACAGGATATAATTAAATTTTCTAGTTTAGGTACCTCCTAGATTAACGGGTAACAATCTCTCTAATTTTTTAATGGAAAATACGATAGCCACGTCTTCAGCCTAAACACAAAACTTTACAAGTAAAGAGAATCTCTCCTATACCCTGCAGAAACTACTGGAATCCTTTATTACATAAAGAGGATCTCGGAAAAGACTAAGTAGTTTATATTTATTTCCTTTGTGTTTCGTTGCCGTTTTCCGAAGTAATTCATGAATGTGACTGAGTCAAAGACAATGTTAGAGACATACCCAACTTTTTCGGATAATTTCAAGTCTGGTGGGCAGACGTTGAATGGCTTATCTGTTACGAGAGGGACATTTTTTGGCAGAACGCATCCGAATGTATCTTCCCAGTACTGCTCGAACCAGGGGTTCCTCTTGTTATTTTCCGGTGTCAAGCTTTGCATGTATTCATCAAAACCAGGTACATTAGACGACGACAATTCCACAGTGATGGCTCCCTCAGCGAGATCTTCAACCCCTTCGACTATCTTCTTCTGTTTACCCCATCCGTCGCTTGCAACCCAGTAGAACTCATTGGATGCGTTCAAACGTTTAACGGCTTGCATTATCCCTCTGTTAATTTTTATCAAACAAGCGTGAAAAAGAGATATTTACACAATCACTTACGTATATTAAACATAATGAATATTTTAACATTTTATAGTTGTACAGTGAACGTCCCATGGAATTCGAAACATAGTGGATCAGAACGAGCTTTTAGACAATTGATAAAATGATGACAGATAGAATACATAAGTGATTTCAAAGACAAAAATGTGTATGACTGATCATGTCTCACATTGAATGATACGAAATTGATCGAAAAACAAAACTTTCTTCCTATAAACGATGACGCCCAGTGATAAATAGGATCAATTAACAGGCGCAGTTCTGTCACTGCCCAAGTAAGAAGTAACGTCTTGACCCATGAGATTCTAAACTACCTCTATTCTTTAAAACACATTTTCGAAAACCAAAACAAATTAGCGCAGCACAATTCTAAAAAGTTGAATTCAGTATTCAAGCTAAGTCCTCATTTTGTTCGAGAACAAACTTCGAGTACCTATTAGTATTAAATATTTATTGTAAGAGATTCAGTGGAAACAAAGTTCGCTTTGTTGCTTTGAGTATTTAAACGTAAGCAGATACAGATAGTTGTGGGGCTTTTTCAGCTCAATAAATAAAAAGCCACATGCAGATACAGCTTTAAGAACGCGAGCTGCACCAGCGAATAAATCTGCTTTTAGTTGGCAGAATTCCGTTGAAACGATCGTTTTATGTATTTATATCGTTTCACTTTGTCAAACGGCAATGTTAAAGATTTTAGAAAACGTCAATAGCAGACTACACGTGCTATTTATTCATTTTGATGAGACGTAAGAAGTTAGAGCTTGGAGAGCTAAGTTTAACTCCAACATGGAGCACAATCTGTATTATGCATCTCGATTTCATGAAATTTTTCACAATGCAAAATGATTTTTACGAATCAAAAATGAAAGATATTACAACTAATAGCATGCTTTATCGTTTTATTCGTAGAAGCAAATGTATTTTTTCTTTTGTTGATTTTAACGTGTTGCATAGAATGGGGTTGATTTAAAACGATACAATTTTCTATAGGGTTGTTCGGAAAGTCATTTCGTTTTTCTTTGTGGAAATGAAAGACAATTTTCGTATAATAAACAAATAGTTTATTAAATTATATATTGACCGTTCTGGTCCAACACCTTTTGCCATCTTTCTGGTAGTAGCATAATTCCACGCTCATAAAATTTTTGGTCTTTGCTGGCAAAAAACTGATCGAGGAG